AAAAAAAAGGGCATGTAACAGGAAGTTAACACTATGTTAAATTTCAGTGTCATTCAGGTGCTCCCACCTGTAATCCCAGCACTTTGGGAGGCTGGGGCGGGAGGACTGCTTGAGCTCAGGAGTTCAATACCAACCTGGGCAACACGTCAAAACCCCGGGCTCTACAAAATATACAAAATTTAGCTGGGTGTGGTGGAGCATGCCTGTAATCCCAGCTACTCAGGAGGCAGAGGCATGGGAATTGCTTGAACCCAAAAGGTGGGGGTTGCAGAAAAAAAATTTTTGTGTGTCATTAACGCCCATAGCCCTGAGATAAATTCCCATTTTACAGATGCGGAGATGAGCTTCAAAGACCAGTAACTTGCCAGACATAACAAAGCCACACTAAACATGGGGATGAAGATTCAAATCCAAGTTTGACTCCCTCAAAATTCTAAGTATATGCTAAAAAACTATCTCTACTCTAAAAGAAGCAAATTAAAAATTATTACCAGATTAGGAAACATGTCTTAAAATATGAAGCTTAGGGCAAGATGCAGTGACTCGCACCTGCAACCCCAGCAATTTGGGAGGTTAAGGCAGGAGGATCACGTGAGGCCACACCACACTGGTCAACAGAGCAAGACTATCTCAAAAAATTAGCTGGTGTGCTGGTGTACTACTGCAGTCCCGGCTACCTGGGAGGCTGAGGTGGGAGGATCTCTTGAACTCAGAAACCCGAGGCTGCAGTGAGCTATGATCACACCACTACACTCCAGACTGGGTAAGTGAATAAGACCCGACTCTAAAATTAAAAATAAATAGGGACACTTAGAAGCCTGAGTCTACACTTGACTCTAGAACTCTGTCACTCAGTGCAGTGGCACGATCTCAACTCATGGCAACTTCTGTCTCCTGAGTAGCTGGGACCACAGGTGTGTGCCACCATGCCCAGCTAATTTTAACTAACTTCTGGGCTCAGGGATCCTCCTGCCTCAGCGTCCCAAAAGGGTTTCACCATGTTATCCTGGCTGGTCTCGAACTCCTGAGCTCAAAGCAATCTGCCCATCTCAGCCTCCCAAAGCACCGAGATTACAGGCGTCAGCCATCACGTCCAGCCATGTTTCTTAAACTAATTCGTTTCTGTGCCTTTAATAGATGGAACTGTCAACTACGGAAGCATTTAGTAATTGAGAGGACAGAAAACAGGTCCTGAAGTCAGGTTGTGGGCTGGGGCTTAGCTACCAGCCCCAAATGCTGAAGTCCTGGGATGAACACTGAACAAAATGGGTTCCACAAGACAACTGGGAGCTCTTCCAACCAGCTTTCTCTCCATGAACACCCACTTTGGGACTTTCATATGCTGCTCCCATCACGAAGGCCTTGGTTCTTCACTACCCCTCATCTTCAACCTCACTGTCAGCTGGCTCTGCCAATGAAATCTTTTTAGCTTATCTGCTAGAAAATTATCTACCTGATTTTTTTTTTTTTTTTTTTTT